TATGACACAGGTGCCAGAGTGCCCCCTAATCAGTGCTCTTTGGAGTGATCTGTTTACCCTCTGTGGATCAGATCCCAGCAAACTGACCTTCCCAGTTGGGAATCTTCCCCCAGTCGTCTCAACATGGGTTGCTCTGCTCCACAGGATAAACAGGCGACTGAAGCATCAATTCTGCTTCATTCTCTTGAGAAAAAAAAGCCTTCTGTATTATGTACATATGCTACATAAGTGAGATTGTAACAGATTGCTCTGAAATGTGCCTGGCTGTGCCCCTGGCTGTCCCCTCACTGCCTCCTGCCATCAGCATCCATTGGTGCAGGAGCTTGAGCAGCGCTGTTAATGGGTAACATGTATAAGAAAGGGCCCTGATGTCTGAGTACTCACATGCTTGCTTTTCCACCCTGCGCTGGCTTTGCCCGCTGCAGCTACTGATTCATGGCATCCTGGAAGTTCGAGTCTGAAGACTAAGTGTAAATTCCTAAACATTTTTTCTTTAAACCATGTTATCAGTCCATTTCGTCATCATTGGAGGGGCGTGGTACTACCCACAGCACCTGTAGAGTTCTGGGTGGCAGTCAGGTGGCAAATCTAACGTGTAAAGTGGGGTGTGAGTACAGGGGCTTGCAGTTCTCGTGAGCCTCAACTCTCTTTGAGAGTTGAGAGACTCTGCAGTTGAGAGACTACCAAAAGGAAAACAGCTTGGGGTCTCCTGCAGGAGTTAAGAAAAAAAAAAAGAAGACACTTGGCAATAGGCCAGAGACAAGGCTTCTGGTGGTTGTGAGTCATCAAAAGATGTAAGTCTTGCTCTGCCAGGCTTCCTGGGAGGGAGTGCTCCAGGGCAGCTGAGTGAGCGTTTAAGAGCATGAAAGAAGTGGGTAAGAATCCTGGCTCTGAGTGCGGCCTCTCAGTAGCTCTGCTGGGGGATCTGATTTGGGGTGACACTGTTTAAGTTCTTTGTCCACCTGTGAGTCAGGGTGCTACAGTTCTACTTAAATCTTGGCAGCATCCATGAGATGATTGTGCATTCATCCCTTGTGCGGGGCTGGTGCGCAGTGAGCCTTCAGTACAGGGCGTCGCTATGGACTTCTTGCTCTGGCAATTTCTCTCATCCCCAGCCTCAAGGGAAGCCAGTCAGTGAGGACACCCTCTCCCTTTAGGGAGGCAAAGATGAGCCCCGGGTGCTTGGGATTAGGCGACCTCTGAGGTGGGAGTCCGTCTCTGCCACCTGCTTGCTAGATGATCACAGGGAAAATCACATCTTTCCTGGGTCTCAGGTTCCTCACCTGGAAGATGATATTGTTGGGCCAGATCAGTGTCTTCCAGCCTGATTTGGTAGCTTTGATCCATCTCTTGGTTCACATTGCTTTCTGCCTCAGGCGAGGCGGAGAGTGGCCGTTTGAAAGATGGCACAGGCCGTGGTATGGATCCGTCACCCTTGTCTCCGGCATCCATTGTCCAGAGCTGCTCTTTTTCTTTCTCTGACCTTCTTTTCTTCTCTAAGTCACTTTTCTCTTCCTCCCCTTGCCCTTGTTTTTCTCTTTTCACCTCCTGTAGATTCAGGACATTCTGCAGGTGCTGTGTCCGACCTTAACCACTCCAATGGGGTAGCGCTCCCCCCATTTGACAGGAGGAAGGTGAGGCCGTGCCAAGACCCCCTCCCTGGCTTGCCCTCTCCCAGCGTGCATGCCCGAGGCTTGTCTGGTTGGGGTACTTGGCCTCTGGCTGATTTTATGTTCCCATCATTAACCCTCGGTGTGTCCATGTCTGCTATTTCAAATGCTTGGTTGGTTGTTGTTTTCCTTCCCGCACATCTTTATCATCTTGGAGAAGAGAAATACACCGTGAAGGGTGAAAGGTCATTTGGGAAGAGCTTCCAGAGCAGTGTGAAAGATTTGGGCCTTCCAAGCCTCCAGGGTGAATGCTCAGTGGCCCGTACTACCGGGAGAGTGTCAATAAACTCCCCCCCCACACACACACACACACAGGGCTTGCCCTCTAGAGGGGCATGTCCCCCAAAGACCAACAATGCACATAGTGGTTGATTTTTCAAAGTGATGAATTCAATTTTAGCTTGGGAGTGGGAAATGCAGGCTTAGGAGAAAGGGGGCTTTGTTACAGGTACAAGGGTTCAGGTGAGTTTTGTAGCAGAACTGCAAAGTACCTGAGGTTCACCAGAGATGAGTGACTGGGACATCCTCCCCCACTGTCTTTTAAAAATCAACTGGACACTTACCATCTCCCATGGGCCCTTGGCAGCAGACACTTTGCTAGGGGCAAGGTGGGATGTGGCAACTGAAGGAGCAGTTGGCTCTGAAGGGTCTGGAGGCTGGAGGGGTTGGCCTTTCAGACTGATGTGTGGTGACGTGGGAGTCCCGGGCAGAGGGTGGGTGCAGGAGATGATCAGGATCCGGAGCCCAGAGGAGCGCTTGGCAAGAAGGTAAGGTGCCTGGGGTGCCCTGGGCTGGAAGATGACCTCATCCTGATGTGGGAGGGGACACCAAGCTCTGGGTCTCCAAGCTGCATTGGGTGGCATCTCATTGTTTCTTCTGTCTGTCCAGTCCCATCAGAACATGGAGGTGACCGGCACGCTCCAAATGGAGCAGCACACCAAGAGCGAGCTGGCCACGAAACTCGGCCAGCTGCAGGAGAAGCTGACAGAGCTAAAGGAGCTGGTAAGTCCTGTGCCAGCTGGGAAGGTCTCAGAGGCCTCCGGGAGGAGGTTTTTAGGCCACAGAGGTAGCTCCAACTCAGGGCTGGGGAGGCACCTGGTACCCTGCAGTCCTGCCAGGTCCGTGACCACCTGTGCCCAGGGTCTGACATGGAGTGGTGGGTTTCCCGGGACTGCAGGTCACCTGCCCCGCTGGAGGTTGAGCCACTAGGCAGAGACAAGGAGACGTGGAGACATCCTTTTTCCAGACTTGGCTCCGGGGTTGCGCTTCACTGAACAGGGCTGAGCCTCAACATTCTTCACTTCAGAGAGCACTGGAAAGCAGTTCTGCTGCAGTTGAAGGAAGGGGCCTGGGCAGGTGGCAAAGTCCCACAGTGCCTGTCCCCCCCCCCCATTTGTGGGTGCAGATCTGGGAGTTGCCTCGGTGGTCTCCACTCTGTTGCTCCACCACAAGTCCGTTGAGACAGTTGCTGCTCAGAACTGCCCTTTTCTGCATGCTTCCTGGGTTATGGGCAGGACCAATCAGGTGGAAGCTATGAGCTGATTGGTGCTAAGTGGTCCAGTCAGCCAAGGATGAAGATGGTCCAGGGCCTCCCTGGTGGCCTAGAGGTTAAGTCTCGGCACCATCACCACTGCTGCCTGTGTTTGATCCCTGGCTGGGAGCTGACCCACAGGGCGCAGCAGACCTCTCCTGCCTTGCCGGCTGCTCCCCTCAGCAGTGTGTTTCAGTCAGTCTGTCTGTTCTGCTCACTCTACACCTCTGGCCAATACCCCAGTTCTTCTGCACAAAAAAAGAAAAATGGTCCAACCAGACTTGATGTTGGGACACCCTGAAGAGTGATATAAGCCAGGGTTAGAGGGAGCTGAGGGGCTCCGTTCCAACCTCCAAAGAAAGAAGGGGAAGACTCTGTTCCTGGCCTCTGAAGAAAGGAGGGCCAGAAGCTGAAAGAAGAAAAGCAGCATCCAGTAGCCAACCTCTGTGGGAGGAAGAGAGGATGAAGACCTCTGTCAGAGACTGGGCCTCCAGTCCTGTGTCTGACATCACCGGAAAGGAGCACCAAAGGCTCCGGGCCTCGTGTCTGAAAGAGCTGTTTGTTGTTGGTGTTGTCCAGCAACTCACAAAGAACGTTTTAACACTTTGTGTCTCTGACATCACCTGGGATCCCAACTGAAAAGGGTAGTCACAGGGCATGAATGGGATGCCAGGATAGGCCGCAGTCGCACCCACCTGCCCAGCCTCTAAGACAAGAGAGCTGCCAAAAAGCCCCAAAGTCAAAACCAAAGGCTGGAGCAATACAGACCCCATACGATAGGGGCCTACAGGTTAGAGCCGATGGAAGGATAGTGCCCGGTAGGGGACTCATCACTGTGGTTCTCAACCATGTGCACAATTGCAAGAGACTTCAGCCTCTGTAAGCAACCACCTTGGGTTTATTTTACAAATGGGAAACGGAGCTTACTGTAGCCACAAGTGGTGTCTACCTCAGCCAGGTACTGTCCACCAGAAGTACAAGTAGGGTTCCAATCCCCTGTCACCAGGAGTGCTGAGCAGCACTGGTCAGTAGTGATGGTCACTACTGGTCTCCCTGAGGTAGCGTCTAGCAGAGGCAGCTGGGTTCCAATGACAATTTGGAGGCCAACTGCCACCTGCCCTCACCCCCCCGCGTCCTGCAGGTGGAGGAGAAATATCAAGAGGCTCAGGAGCTGCAGCAGCAGCAGGACCACTACCTTAGTCACCTTCAGCAGTACATGGCCGCCTACCAGAAGCTCGTGGCTGCCTACCAGCAGCTGGCCAACGAGAAGGACGTCCTGCAGAAGCAGGTGCTGCTTAACACCCAGCTTGTCAACTGGATACAGCACGAAGAAGAGCAGGGCAAGATGGAGGTCGAGTTGGCCCGCCAAGAGCTGCTGGAAACACAGGTGGGGCAATTGGAGTGCCAGACACCCTGTGGCTGCCCGAGCAGGAAGACCTGCGAGCAGCATCCCTTCTCATTCTTTCCTGTCGGCCCCACTGAACCTCCTGGCTCGGACTGGAGAAAGTGAGTGGGACTTCAGCAGAGGAGGGGTTTGCAAGAGTGGAAGCCACCCTTAGGACAACTTGGATCCTTCTCCTTTGGGGACTTGCTGGCGCAGGGTTGCACAGAGAGGAGGGAGCAGAGCTTGCTGGCTCTCAGGGCTGCTTCAGAACCCAGGTGTTCTTTGAGCCCCTCTGGCTGCCCCCCAACAGTAAATGGACTGAGCAGTGAGGAGGAGGAGGAAGAGAACAAGGGCCCCCTGCCAAAGCTAAGCATCCCTGACGACCTAGACAGCCGCGAGGCCATGGTGGGGAGAGTGTGCCTGGGGAGACCCACCAGGCCCTTCAGGGAGCCATGGAGAAACTGCAGGTGAGTGTGTGTAAGGCAGGAAGGAATGGCCACAGGGCAGGTTTTCTGATCCAGCAGACCAGGTACAGGAGAAGTGAGTCCTGGAAGCCTCAGTGACTTTTGCAGGCTTTTATTGGGATTTACCGGGTACATGGCAGGCAGGGTGCTGGGGGGGTCAGGAGGCAGACAGGCCTCCCAGCCCCCAGCAAGTCTTCACTCTTTCTGGGCTCTCCGGCGTTCTCTGATGGTCTCTGCTGCTCTGCTGTCTCGGTTCTGCTTCTGCTTCTCTGCTGCTGCTGGCGTCCCATGACGCCGCCCTTAAAAGCCCAGTCTTGGGCTTCCCGGTGGCACAGCGGTTGAGGGCTGGGTTCTGAAGCTGCCCGCAGCCTCCGCGGTGCCGGTTTGATTCCTGGCCGCAGGGCGAGGGTCCCACATGGCGCGCGGACCTCTCCTGCCGCCCGCTGCTCCCCTCAGCAGTGTACTTCGTCCTTCTGCCTGCTCTGCTCCCGCTCTGGCTCTGGTGAATTCTCTCACCCTCCCGCACTTCTGACTGTACCCAGTGTTTGTATGAATAAATAAATAAATCTTTAAAAAAAAAAAAAGAGACTGACTTCACAAAGTTCTTTAAATAAATAAATAAATAAATAAATAAATAAAAGCCCAGTCTTAGCCCAGGTGAATCCCATCTACCTATACCCACACCCTACTCCAGGTGCCCGCATCAGGCATGCATTCGGGACCACAGGGTTCCGTCTTCCATCCTAATGGCGGGAGGGCAGAAAAGCCTGATACTTTTACCTGCCAGACAGTCTATACGAGTTATACACACGTTTCTCTTGGCGAATATGAACACTGCAGCCATGGCCCACAAAAGCAAATGAAATATATCACAATGAAATATAACAGAACACAAATAAGTCCAGGCAGGGCACCGACCTGGGGGCAAAAGACTGTTGGCACCAGTAGATGATCCACCACTTCAGCTGCCGAAGGCACTGCTCATGCGAGAGAGGGAACCACTCAGGCATCTGCCGTCACTGGCCAGGAGCCCTCAGGCCTCCGGCCCCCTCCAGCTGGGGTCTTCGGCCACAAGCCACACACTGCATCCACCCCCAGGATGCACTCACTCTTGGGTTGGCGATTCTGTACTCTTTGGGGGTAATCGCCCAACCCTCAGGGTTTCTGTCTGCAGTCACTCCAACACTCGGCTTTCATAGCCACCAATGCGACACGCAGGCCCCTGCACTCAGGCCAGCCCACTGCACAAGCACATGGGTCGGGGATCTGTGATGCAAGCGCCACATGCGGCCTCTCTTGGGTCCCTTCCTCTTTGGCTGAGGGCCCCACCACAAGCCACGTTCCCTGCCCGTCCCCAAGGACGGGTTCCTCAGCTCCTCACCCTCACTCAGCAATGAACAGGGCAACACCCACAGGTGATTTTAAGAGACTCACTGGCCTTCTTTAGCTTACACAGTGCTTAACAGCCGCTCAGGGCTTCCCGAACTTAGCACCAGCTTTTGCCTTCTCAGTTGGCTTTTTCTCCTCTGCCTGGCTACTGGGCAATACACTGGCTGCTTTTGGCCACCAAGGCCCACTGGCCACCCCCAGATTCCCATCTCTGGGGTGTACAATCCCATCTCCCCAGGGCCCCCAAAACATATCAAACTTGCCAAGGTCCTCCCCTTCTGGCGGGATTGTTAGTCCATTAGTCCAAGTTCATCGGCTTTTCCCTTTGTCCACACTGGGAGCTCTGAATCGTGGTCCTTTCTTCCCGACGATTCTTGCTGCCTCGGGGATCATTGGCTGGTCCTCTCGGGCGTCTCCTCCTCCAGGCGAGGTCTCATCCCGCAGCTTCCGGACCTTTTCCATCCCCTGTGCCGCCATGACACGTCCAGCGCTGTCACAGGCAGACACTGTCTGCTGCTCCTCAGTCCCTCCCGGTCTTCGGAGGGCTCCATACCCGTCTGCATGGATCACCTTGCCGACTTACGCCAATTGTAAGGCAGAAAGGAATGGACACGGGGCAGGTTTTCTGATCTAGCAGACCGGGTCCAGGAGAAGAGAGTCCTGGAAGCCTCAGTGACTTTTGCAGGCTTTTATTGGGATTTACCAGGTACATGGCAAGTAGGGGTGCTGGGGGGCTGGAGGCTGACAGGCCTCCCAGCCCCTAGCAAGTCTTCATTCTTTCTGGGCTCTCCGGTGTTCTCTGGTGGTCTCTGCTGCTCTGCTCTCTCGGTTCTGCTTCCGCTTCTCTGCTTCTGCTGGCGTCCCAGGGACGCCACCCTTAAAAGCCCATCTTAGCCCAGGTGAATCCCATCTACCTATGCCCACAGCATACTCCAGGTGCCTGCATCAGGCTTGCATTCAGAACCACAGGGTTCCGTCTTCTATCCAAATGGCGGGAGGGCAGAAAAGCCTGATAGTTTTTTCTTACCCTACAGTGTGGTTCTCCGGAGGGCTGGGCGGGCTGGGTGCTGGGCAGGCCAGCACTGCTGAGCCCCTGAGCCCACTGTCTGGCTGCAGGGTCACTTTACCGAGCTCATTCAGGAGAAAGTGGACTTACAGGACTGGATGGAGGAGCTGGAGCATCGATGTATCCAGATGTCTGGAGAGACTGACACCATCGGTGAGTGGGGAGGCCTGTGCCCTGCAGCTGGGGTGCTATGCAGAGGCTGGGAGACCCCAGCAGCTGAGCTATCTACACACCCTCCCCTAGGAGAATACATTGCTCTCTACCAGACCAGAGAGCAGTGATGAGGAAGGAGCACCAAGAGAAGGAGGAGTCCATAAGCCAGCTGGCCCAGAACAAAGAGGAGATGAAGGTAGTCAGAGCTCTGGCTCCATGGTGGTGCAGCTGGGGGCAGGGCGGGCTTCTGAGTGTCTCTGCTTCCAGGTGAAGCTGTTAGAGCTGCAAGAGCTGGTTTTGTGGCTGGTGGAGGTGCACAACAAATGGCGGGTGAAGCTCCAAGCACCTGCCCAGAACCCTGCTGCTGAGCCCACTAGCGCATGCCTAGCCCCAAGGAGCCTGGCGCTGCCAGCAGCCAAGGTGAGGAAAGCCCCGCACGGGCATCTAGGCAGGAGGAGCACACTGCGCCAGGCACACAGCATCCTGTCTCTGTCTCTCTAAAGCACGGAGTGAGGTGAGCCTCGTCCACGACGTGCAGCCGACCCAGGGCGAGGCCCATCTGGGCCTGACTCCCCTCGAGAACACCTCTGTGCAGCAGATCATTCAGCTGCTTCAAGAAATGCAGAACCCCAGGAAGGCGTCACCATTGGAAACAGCCGGTGTATTCCCTTCTTCTACCAGGCTGATGACAACAAGGTGAAGATAATGGTGGTCTAGGCCACCGGCATGGGCCGGGGGCTCTGCCCCCACCTGGCCCTCACCAACCCATCCCTGTTCCCAGGCTATCCCCCCCCGTCCTTTGGCTCTCCTTCCCAGTTGTCCTTTTCATCCCTCGGCTTAAAAAAGGGGTCAACAACTCCCCTATCTAATAGGGGAAACAGGTGTAGACCCTAGCCTCTTAGGTCAGGGCTGTGTCTTAATCTCTGGGCTATTCATACTTCCAGAGACAAGGAGCTAGAAACATCCAACTAGTTATTTAGGGGCTCCCTTCTACAACATAGGGGCTCCTTGATGACCAATTGAATCCTTACCAGGCCTTCCTGCAGAGGGCCTAGGTTATATCAGGCAATTTGGGGCCACGTGCCACCCCCACCCTACCCCAACCATGTGGAGTGGGGCAGCATTTTGAAGGCCCGGCATGGGGGCTAAGTCCAGACAGAGATACCAGCTGGCGCAGGTGGGCACCTACACCTGTCTAGAGTGTAGCCAAGAGATAGCAGTGGTTTATTTGAGACCACCCAGATCCACAAAGGGGTGGTCTCCCCTGCTCCCTTTTGAAATTTCCCCACGGGCCTTTGCACCCAATTTTTTTTTTTTTTACTTTTTTGTTGGACTCAATAATTGTTTTGATTTTTCTTATTTTTTTTTTTTTACTTTTTGTTGCACCCAATTATTTTGGAGGTGATCCCTAACTGCAGAGGGGAGGCCTCTCCTACTACCTAGCAAAAGTCCCCATGGGCATGTGTGCCCGATTATTTTGTAGGCACCCACCTGTTAAGGGGGGGCTCTGCTCACTACACAAGTCTTGGCTTGAGGTTACCCTGTCCCCTCACAAAAGTTTCGCGGGCATGAGGGCACCACAATCCTCAAAGGGGTGTCCTCACCTGTCCCGGCTAACAAAAGGCCCGTGGGAATGAGGCCACCCCAATGTGCAAAGGGGTGGCCTCCTCCTTCCCCCTCACAAAAGGCCCATGAGCATGAGGCCACCCCAATCCACAGAGGAGTGGCCTCTCCTGTCCCGCCCCTCACAAAAGAAACGCGGGCATGAAGCCAACCCAATTCTCAAAGGGGTGGGTACCCTGTCCCCCCTCCCAAAAGACCCGTGGGCATGAGGCCACCCCAATGCACAAAGGGTGGCTTCCCCTCTGTGCCCCCTCACAAAAGTCCGCGGGCATGAGGCCACCCGATCCACAAAAGGGTGGCCTCCCCTTCCCTCCTCTCAAATGTCCTGCAGGTATGAGGCCACCGCAGTCCACAAAGGGTGGCCTCCACTTGCTGTCTTTACAAAAGTCCCGTGGGCCTCTGTGCCTGATTATCTTGGAGGCCACCCCGGATTTGCACAGAGGTGGCCTTCACTGCTTCTTTAATAAAAAGTCCCCATAGAGGGGATGCATGGCTTACTCAGGCAATTTGGGGGTACACACTTACTCCCCCAACCCTGTGGAAAACTGGGCTTGGCCAGAAGCCGGGCTGGGGTGGCTGGTGGAGGCCAGGTGGAAGGCGCGTGGGCGCCCCGCGGTGTACATACTGTGCTGGGACGTGTGTACATGGGGCTGAGACGGCCCCTGTATCACAGCGGAGGCTGCGGTGGCCCCTGGGAGAGGAGGTTTCTATGAATCAGTTGACATCGAGGAAACTTATTTATAGATCGCCCAGGACAGAGGAAGGAGGCAAGGCCAGGGAGTGGTTCCTGGTGTTTCACTTTTGTTTCTGAATAAACCGAACTCACCACGTGGTCGGGCCCTGGGACCTGGGCTCAGGTGCTGCGCTGGGTGTGGGTCCTGCCAGCAGAGGGCAGGCTTCGGGGTGCGAGGTGCGCACTGCGGCTGCCTGTCAGGGATCCAACCCCGCTCAGCTCTCAGGCCCTACAGGTGCCACCCACTGCGTGCCACCCCGGGAGGGCCAAGACTGGGAAACCTGGTCTACTTCTGTGGAAGGAAAGCAGGGTACCAGCACCCCAGAGTACTGGCTTCCAGCCTAGGATTTCTCCTCTCACCCTGTTTCTCTGGGCCCCCAGCCAGGCCCCATGATTCCTCCAGGCTGGCACTCTACCCCTGGTGGCCACAGCAGGGTCCAGATGAAGACCAGTTAACATCCAGGTGCTTTCCCGAGCAGCCCGGGAAGGACTGGGGCATCCCAGGCACCCCTGTGCCCCCATGCTTAAGACTTCCCTCCCCCTGAACGCCACAGAACACAGCCAGCACACAACACGTTGCTCCCCATTGTTCAGAAATGGGTTTCATTCTCAGCCAAGAGACAGCAGGACTGGTCGCGGCCAGAAGCACACAGCTGCCGGGACAGCACCCCCATGCTCGGGGAAGGGGCAGGAAGGTGGCAGGGGTGCTGAATGGGCACAGGCCGGGAATGGCAGGGAGGCTCGTCGGAGGTGGCACGTGTTGGCGGGGGCGGCTGGGGTGACAGCGTTTGCTTGTAGTTGGGCCACAAGACTCAGAAGGACAGCACAGCACAGCGGTTCCCAACACTAGAGATGTGCACATTAATGTGTGTGTGTGTGTGTTATTTATAGACATGTATAGAGCAGGGCAGGAGCAATACCACAGCGGGGGCACAAGTGTCACCAAGGTCATGCCTGGGGTGTCAGCTCACCACCACAACAGACTAAAGTCACAGATGAAGGGGGAGGCTTGGGGGCTGGGGGCCAAGTCACAGAACAGCCACCCAGGCAGGCCTGGGAAGAGAGGTGTCCCAGGAAGAGGAGGGTCTGGTTAGAGGCCGAAGGGGGCCCTGGGGCTCTCAGGATGGGATGGACTCGCCTGACCCGATCAGCTGGCAGCTGGAGAGAAGCAGAGAGAAAACGGGGGAGGGAGAGAAGGGGGAGAGCTGGGAAGGCAGGTGCAGCCTGGGCTGCAGCGCTGGGGGGAGGTGGGGAGGGAAGACGAAGCAGGGGAGGGTGTGGGCAGGGGTTCTGGATGAGAGGGGAGGGGACAGGGAGGGGGATGCAGGAGCAGGAGCTGGAGCCTCTCCCTGCACGCTCACCGGCCTCTCACACACACCAGACAGTGCACCCGTGAGCCAGACATGTGATCGGCTCCCTCCTGCTCCCTCCTCTCTGCTCCCCTGTCTTTCATTCCGCTGGCCCAGGACCACCCTCAACTTCGGGAGTAGGGGGCCCCGGGCCCCACGCGACACCACCATTTCTGATGGAGAAAGACAGGCGGAATACCACTGTTTACCCCGAGAGGGCAGAGCTGAGAGGATGGCTGGAGGGAGCACTGGGGGCCCCCTGGGTGGGCAGAAAGCCCAGGAGTCCTCCATATGGACCCTGGGGAGGCTGGGAGGGCAGGAGTCTGGATGCCAGTGGCCACAGGCTTATAAGTCTAAGAGGGGAGCCTCAGCTGGCCGGGGGACCACAGGTTGAATAGGTGAGGCTGGGCCCTTCCTGGTGTGGAAAAGCAGAAGAGCAAGCATCAGTGGAAGGATGCGGGGGCAGGCAGGTCTGTGGGGCGAGTTTTACTGCCCAGCTGGAGCAGAACTCAGAGAAGCCAACTTGCCTGGGTCAGCAGACACTGAGGTCCCCTGGCTGTAAAGGGGAGGTGACCCTAAGGAGAAACAGGCCCAGGTCCACAGGCCTGCAGGCGGGCCTCGGTGCTTTACCTGGGGCACAGCAACACCGGGCATGGAGGGCAAGGCGCTCTGTGACCTGCCTGGTTGCAAGGTGGCTCTGGGCCGAGCTGTGGCTTGGACCCTCAGGCTTTCCAAAGCCATCAGACAACCTGAGCCTTCCTGAAGGCGACTCAGTTGCCACAATAAGGAGGAGGGTCCAGACCTCCTCTGCCCTGTGGTGGATCTGGTTCCAAAGCTCCCAAGGCAGCTGCCCTGCCCCAGCAGCACACACATAGGGGGATGGGGGCTGCACCCCCAGGATGAATTTCAAAGGCTCCCTGAAGGCCTGCTCCCTGACAGCGGCACAAGCGGCCTATCAGCTCAACACCCTGCGTGACCATCTGCACTGCAGGCCCTCGAGCCTAGAGACTTCCACAGCCAGAGGACCTCCACCTAGGTGGAAGGCCCGGCTGAGACACGTAGCAGCCACTGTCTTCAGTCAAAGGTACTTTGGGAACCTGGGGTTGGCTTGCCTGTATGAACGTAAGTGTGTGTGTGACCAATATAGGAATAAAATTCTCTCTGAGAGCCAACTTCTGACTGAAGCTTATCTATCACCCTCGCGGCAGATGCCTTCTCTCAAACCTCGGTCCCCTGGGGCTTAGGCCAGATATGTGCCCTAAGCGTCTCATCTTTTACTGCAGCGCTGCGTGGCCTCAATACCAATTGGACAATGGCTCCCACGGGCCGAGCATGGCGCTTTTGACTTCTCCATCCTTGCAGACCTAGAGTTCTGTCACCGCAATGGAAATGGTCAGAGATCCCTTCGGGCCAGGCTGGCTTTCTCTTGTGCTCCCGTGCCCCCCTCCAGCCCCTCCCTCCTGAAAACCTGCCACACTCTCCAAGTCTTGAGACTCCTCTCACTCTCCCCTCTCTGGACCCTCTTCAACGTTTTCTGATCCTCTAGTTCTCAGTCTTCACCTCCTCCAGCTCCCCAATCCGGCCTCCCCTCTTTTTTTTCACCTCCTAGCTGCCACACCCGCTCTGGGTGGTCCTCTTCTGGGTCCCCTCAGGGAAGTGGCGGGGACTGAAGGAGGAATTAGGGTCCATGGTCCTTCCTCTCTGTCTGGTCTCTCCCAGACTGAAAAGCTTCTTGGCTCTTTCACTAACAATCCCACCACCTACACCAAAGAGTTTCCTTATCTTACCCAAGCCTGTGACCTTACTTGCCATGATTACAAGTGATCCTCTCTTCCACCCTGACCTCTGACAAAAGGGAGCAGGTTTTTAGGTCTGCCCAAGACCAAGCAGATCAGGTCCCTGTGACTGACACAACCATGGCCCCAGGCTCTGCAGCAGTTCCCAGCCCAGAGCTGGGGTGGGGCTACCAGACTGACACAGGCAGGGCCCCCGGGGCAGGACTCACCAAGACC